CAAACCAATAATTTAGGGAGCAAAATTGCTTCTTGAATTAGACACGTAGTTATGTGCCAAATTTGGTGACATACATTTGTTCAGTTTATCAATAAAGACAAACCTTTATGGTACACCGCTAACTATTTCAATATCATTTTTGACTTCTTTGTTAAGTTAGTACTCATTAGAAGCGCTGGATGTTGGTCTACTGTTGCTTATAGGGCCTGTGTTGCTAATGTATTTTACACCAAAACTCACAAGCAAATCCCCAAATTCTATCCTTTCCGCATCGACTAAATTAACAAATGCATGGGACTTTCTTGTAGCAAACCGCCAGATCTCGGAGCTTTAGTTTACTCGATGACAACTTAATCGTGATGCTGCCGATAGCATTGAGCCTTATTGTTATTTGACAGAAAGTAGATAACTCATTCTATACGTCGTAAAAATGTGAAGAACTGGAATCTGCATTCAGCAAATAGGGACAAGCTATACTCCAAATTGGATGTTAGTTCGACAAGTCTATTTCGAAAGATTCATGTAAAACCAACATTTCCTTCTCTCAAGCTTGCAACTATCACAACTTGATGCAGACGTATTCCTGAATGATCAGCATTGAAAGCCGGCAAGGCCGATTCGAGTGTGCGTGTGTACATCTCATAAGTCAATGACGACATTAGAGCCCTGATGAAACTGCGGTTTGTGTCTGACCTACCCGACTTTTAATTGGTACTGCATGTATTTCGAGACATGCTACCCGGACGGGATCTACGCCTGGGCACCATGCCTCGCAGACCTTTTCGAGGATGGCATTCGTCCCGAGTGTCTTATCTCCTTATCTACCCAGTTCCCCCATTCACTAACTCGTTTGTAGGCCACACTGTTTCATTCGTCTCCAGCATATGCACAACCTGGATTCTGTCCTGTTTCCCTTCACAACCCTTTCCGGCTTTTCCATTTGCGTCTCCCGCTCGCTCACATTTCCCTCGCGACCTTTTTCCTTCACCTCTGCTGCCCACTGGACTAGCACACTTGTCGGTATGCTTGTCCTACTGCATTTTTCTTGCAAATTCACACACACACACGCACATACATACACTTATTTGTCTGCAATTCCCTTTCCAGACTCATTCTCTGACCCTATCGTCCGGCCTCTGGACAGCAGCACGTGCACATGACTTTAGTAACTCGTTATTTATTTATTTACTTTCTGATAGTTAAAATGTAGAGAACTGGTGAAAGTAGGAGGATGTGTAGTCACAATGCGAGAGAGAGAGAGAGTGAGAGAAAAAAGTTAACTTGTTCTCTTTTTGCCATCCGGACTTGTCAATGTCATTGAGTCCGTTTGAGCATCGTCGTGCCGGAGACACGAGTTCATCTCATCTGCTTCATTTTCTGTCCCCGTGCCCCCATCGCCCCACCCCCTCTTTCTACATACCCTCAACTCGAGCCCCCTGGTCCTATTGTATGGCAGAGGCTGAGCGACACTCTCTCTTCCGCTCTTCTCTTGCAGTTCTCAACCAGTCTGCAAGAAATGAAGCTTGACAAGTTAGGCAATTATTTTCATCCGGCCCCTCCCCCCTTTCCCTTGGCCCTATCAACTAACCTCGCTCCCGTCAGGCCAGATAGCTTGGCTTCTCTAATTTCGCTACATCATTAATCATAATAACCATGACACCCACATCTCAATTAGCTGTGGACTTGTCTACACATGCAGCCATGCACAGGCACGCAGGCTCAGTTGCTGGTCGACAAGCGCCAAGCGGCAGGCCACTCAACGGGATAGAGTTAATTTACCTCCGACGGTTGACGGATGCCAACCAGCCAGGCGTTCAAATGCAGTAAATTTAGCTTCAGCACATGCACTATTCAGACTGTGGATACTCCTCCATTTTCCGACCCTTTCTGCTCACCCAAAAGCCTGCATTACATTCTCTTGCGTGTTTGACTGCTGCAAATACGTGCGCATACTGATGTGTGTGTATGTGTGTGTATGTGTGTGTGTGTGTGTGTGTGTGTGTTTGTAGATGTGTTCACGATAGTGCACATTCACAGGCCCAGCTGTCCCTAAAGTGGTATGATCTGCCAGAGTGGCTACACCAGGTTGGCAAGTGAGGCTGAGCACATTTCGACCTCTTTTCTTGGCTGTGCTGGCGGATGAGGGCTTTCTGTGACTTGACGTTATCTGCTCGTGGGGTAGGCGGCAAATGACTCTCCGTCTGCGTGTACGTGTGTGTATGTGTGAAGCAGTGCTGACCGACCAGAAACGGGGTAGCCGACCTGTGTGACTTGGTCGCGAGGACCCTGACCTGTGGTCCCATAGCCTTGAAATGTGTACCATTTTCTGCTTATTTGGCATCGATCTGAACGTGTTGGTTTTTGAACTGTATGACAGCTACCGTGACGACCAAGGCGACAGGGTAGGCAGACAGTTGCCAGCCGGCTTAGGCAGCCATTCTGCGCAGGGTTGTCATAGTCTCCGTTGGCTATCGGACGGACGGGTACCAGTTGCCTTCAGGCCTCCGGTCGACTGGACGGAGAGGCAGACGTCCTGTCTCGCAGAGCTGCGTTGCCATGAGACTGCCGCCTGAACGTCAGCTGGTCTCCTGTGAGGCACTTTTTATGTGGCAGTGTAGTTTGCAACCGACACTACAACATCGCAACACCACAAAACTGTGGGTAGGTTCACTGAGCCTTATGCTAGACAGAGTTTTGAAGAAAACCTGGGTTTCGAATAATCCCTTGG